AGCTATACCACATTTCAGTATACACCAATTTTTAGAATATTTAAAGTAAGCATTAGAAATTTATGAACAATATATATACATATATACATATATGATAAAAAATTGTATTCTCTTAAATTGATTTTTAAATGATTTTGTTAGGCAAAATGAATTGGAAGGTGAAGTTTTTGAGGTATTATCAACATTCACAGACTTCATGGCCTTTAAAGAAATGTTCCTTGACTATAGAGCTGTAAGTATTATTAATATATGACCATGAAATAGGTGAAGAAATAAGAATGAAATAAAATTACTTTTAGGTAAAGGAAGGAAAGGTTCAAGATCTTAGTTCTGGAATATCTGTAATATCTTTTAAAACAAACAATACAATTGACAATGATTCCATTGAATAAAAAATATTTTAGTAAATGAAATTAACATTTTTTAACAAATAAGTTAGAAGATAATTTAAGGAACATTACGTTTATTCTGTTTGCAATTTTTTTGTTCTTTTTTTAATTTATGGACGTACAAAAAATATATATACACTACATTGGTAATACTCTTAAAATTGAGAACGTGTAACATTGATTGTGTTTGTGCTTCACAAACTCAGTACTCGCACAAATATACATATATGTTGCATCGCTTAAAGTACCGTAACGAAAATAAAATGATAAAAAGAATGCAACATATTTAATTCAGCACATAAGAATTTCCATTTGTACAAGTTTGCTGTTTGTTTCATTGGGCATGCGATATGGAAGCGTTCCTGCGAAACTAGTCAATGCTCGTGCTTGTTCCCGAAGGTCAAGTAATTGTTGTTTCCTTGCTTCTTCATCACCCGTTTCTACTGATTTTAACTTCTGATACTGACGATAGAGAATCGTCATTGTGGCTAAAAGGACGTCTGCTAATGTACCAGCTACTTCTGGTGGCACACGTCGTAATGCATTTACTCTTTCGTCGACTTCCTTTATATGTAGCGGTAGCAACTTTGATTCTGCGATAGTCTATAAATAAATCAATATTATACATTTGACATAAAAATTAAAATACACATAGTAATAATCCCTGATTCCTTACCCTAAGAGCACTCTGATATTGTTCATTGTGAAATTGATCAAAGAACACCATTAGATGCCTTAAAGTGTAAAATGCAGATACTAACTCAGATGGTGCTTGTATCTCGATATTTTGATACCTAAAAGTAAACGTTTATATAACAATTTGTTTTTTTAATAACGATAACTTTTTAGTCCTTCAATATTACCTTGTACTTATCTCAGTAGCAGTAACCTGCAATCGAGATCTCAGCGAACCCTGTGAAACCGTTTGACTAACTACTTGTGCCAAAAGCGTGCACATTAAACTAAGAACTTTCTCGTGATTACCAGCGAGATCATACATCATTATAGCATCTTCTAAAAGACCTTTTCTATATAATGTATCCGCACTTATATTTATTACGTCCTCTGTATTAATCTGGAACTGATCTAAAATTCCGGGAACCCAGCGATCCTTTTCTATTTTTCCAACCAATTGTATTCTATTTGCTAGAGAAGCATCAACTACCATTTCAGCAGCTGAAGCGGCGAACATGTTACGATCATGTGGATCTTTCATCCATCTGAAAGCATCATGTAATAAAAAATAAGTTTCTAACATTTTAATAATTTGTTTTTGTACATTTTTTATTATACCTTAATAAGAATAAATAATGCAAACATTCTTTTGGATCCGTGGAATCAAATCTTTTGACGTACAGTAATATTAATCTAGCAAAGTTTAATCTTTTTGCGGGAGGTTTATCAGAGGGATCAACGCTTATCAATGGTGCTAAAACACTTTGACTAACTCCTAATAAGTTGTGTTCGTGCATGGCAGCTGCTAAATGCACAGCATGTGGCAGGTGTCTGGCTCCTGCACCTCTTGCCAAAAATTCAATTGCAGCTTCGAACTGACCAGTTAAAAATAACATGGAAAAATATACAAATGGTTGTTCATGAGCATGGTAATATGATTCTCCATATATCTCTGATATTGTAGTTTGCAAATAATCTAAAGTTAGTTTATTCTCTGCATCTGGCTGATCTCTAACTTGACATAGTTTTAGCCATAAATAATCATCAGCAGTGCAAATTACATCAGAATGCAAGTCATCAGGTTCACAAGGAACTAATGCACAGTATGAAACTCTTTTATATGGATCAGTAACTGATTTAACATGTTTTCTATAGTGCAATTTCAAGTTTGATTCTGCATAACTACTGGGATGTCTTTGAGGATCATTGCAAGCTTCTTCTAATGCAACTTTAAATTCTGGAAATTCTGTGTTGCACTGATTCAGGCACTGCAATGCTGCCTTGTAATCACCAACTCTCATACAATAATAGATTAAAAGCCACAATGGTTCACCCTCAACCATAACATCATCTAGTTCCCTTAGATTTTTTACTTTGACAAAAACAAAACTTTTAACTAATGGCACAGTGCCTGGAATACCACCCCTTTTTGCTTGGGCCAAGTTCTCACTAATAACAGAAGTCATAAAATCTCTATATCTATTTTCCAAGTATTTCCTTGCATGTAATACAATTTCCTGCTCAACAGCAGCAGTACTCCTTGATTTAATTTGGTCTTCCTTAGGAATAGGTGGAATGTCCACCATACATTTAACCATTTGCCAAATATCTACAATCTTTGTATCATTAAATGTCTTTGCTGCTTTACAAAATGCATTAAACAAATTTGGTCTAGTTATTCCTCTAAGTACATGATCATTATAGTTTTGTAACTCTTTCACATAAGCTACTTCTACACTGGATAAACCACTGACCATAGAGCCAGCTAATTTAGTACGTTGTGGGGTCCCACGTAAATCTACAAGCTCCCCAGATGGAGCTGTCATAGCATTTATTATTTCAAACCGCATTTGTTTCCATTCACCCAACATATGTTCCATTTGTTGAACTCTGGTAAGTTCAAATGTCTAGAACAAAAAATCATAAGCTCAATATGTAGAACCTTAAAGTCTTATTAACATAAGAAGCACAATATGATATCTTACATCTTTGTGAACTTGTTCAATGATTGATAAAATAGCATTCTCCTTTTCATTTCTGAGGTAACTAACTATATTTGTGTCTGCAATAGGATCTAAGGGTTCAAATGTACGTCTTGCACTAAGTGAATTCAATTTCTGTGATATCTGAGGTAAATCAACACCACGTGAGCCAAGTAGAAGGTGTCTAAAATTATAATATATTATTTTTCCTGATGTTAAATAATACTAAAACATACATTAAATCTGAAAAATATTAATGATACAAATTTTGTTCAATAAGAAAATTTCTTGTTTGTAAATTGAATTATATTATACAAATTACAAGTTTAAATATCTACTATACTCTGTTAGAAATCTTTGGCGCCAGAAATTTATAAAGCAGGTAGGTTATGTGTTACATCAAGCACAATTATGAAAAAATGAATAAATCTTCTGTTGCAGGCATAAATTTTAAACAGTGCATTTAAAATTGGTTTGAAAATTTCATATGCAATGAATATTTAAATTTTCTTACGCCTGAACTTGATTATCTTGAGTGCCGGTTTGCGTGACACGAGACCACAATTCGTTGGAAGCTTCTAAGATTTGACGAAGGTTTCTTTCAACTTGCGGAAGTTCTTCATTACCTTCTACGGCAGCGGATAATCGTTCCGCTGATCGTAATAATTCACTGAAACCAGTATCACCTGGCAATCGAGAAGAAACTGCGTTTAACATGTCGGTGTAACTAAGATCACTCATATTTGAAAAACGATGTTCACGTATTCCATGAGTTACAGACACATGAGTGAAAATTGCAGGGAATTTTTGTCCTTTCATAGACTGCTAGATAACATTTTTGATCACATTTTCAATAAACGAGAAAATAGTTTAATGTATAGATTTTAGAATACAAACTATTAATAGTAGAAGGAAATAATTTTCTGTCTTCAATAATCATTTAACAGATAAGAATATCAAAGAAATAAACGTATTTTGTAAAATTAAATCACATAAACTATGACTTGTGTACATGAGAGCAAGCCTTAAAATTTAATGCTACCAACATTATGACCTAATATTCTCATTATGAAACACCCTATACAGATTGACAGTCGAAGTGCATTCTTCTGCTTGAATTTGACTGCACGAAAGTCCGTGCGTATCTGCGAACAATATTTCTTTAAATAATTCTACCGAATGTTCACGAACTTCGGTAGCACTATAAGTGACAAGCATGTAAAACTTTCATCTATTTGATCTGAATCGTTGGGGCGAAAACTGAACAATGATTGAAATAAACGTTGCGTTTTATCCGCGTGCTTCGTACACGTCGTGATCGACAAATAGCCTGATGATGATGTTCGTTCACAATTAATAATGGAAAAACGGAATTCCAATAGCAAGGATGACTGTCAGGTCCTCCAATGTTTCGTCGCCAAGCAAAATACCATTTTGATGCGTATGTCGGGAGAATGTGACAAAAATGTCAATACATTACGTCTCGGCATGCTCGTTGAGGCTGTCGAAGATTTAGGAGACAGCTTGCTTAAAGTACGCGTCATTGATACGACAGGATCAGAATGGCGTGGTACCGAATGGCGATGTCACAGATTCGATTTAATAGCCGTTTCGCCAGAAGTATGGAAATTTCTACCTGCTGTTACAGTACCACAAGAAAGGGTTCATTTGGCTAACCGTAAACGTCTGTGTGAAGAGCTTATGAGCCTAGCAGTAAATGATGCTGTTTGGTATTGTGCTAATCCCCAGGGATGTACCAAATATTTGGCTATTATTAAGTACATTGGACCTGTGCCACAGCTTGGCCAGGGATATTATTTTGGCCTTGATTTGTTGGTAATTTTGTGTAATATTTCATCTTTATTAGAAAATATATCCTTTCGTTTTTCTTGAATAATATTATTTCTTAAATATATACATATGTGGTTGATAATGTGTTGACAGGAAGGAGAAGAATCTTCTAAGACAGCTTTGTTGAGCAAGGAGTACTTTGTTTCTAATCATTCTGAAGGAAGATTTGCTTCATTAAGTAACGTTTTCCCATTAATACCTGGGGGTCCTACAGGCCTTGCAAAGACAGACAAAAGTACAAAAATTTATATCTACACAGTTCTATTTTTTTTGACCTGTGGAATTTAAATTTTATAATTGAATTCTTAATTTCAGATTTATTTATGAAGAATGACATAGGAAACAATTACACTAATGATAAAAAAAAATCTGTACTAGATTCTACACCACCTGTGATGTTAGAAAGATTCATTAACTTTGATGACAATAAAAATAATAATAGAGACCAAAAATCTTTGTCAAAGGAATACCTTCAATCAGTAAAGTCAATAACACATGAGAATGACAGCAATGTAACTAAAAGCACAACTACTCATGGTAATAGCAGAAATGTAGAAATAAATTTTAAGCTTGGCTTCTTACTCACTAGAACACTGTTGGCTTTTCTAAAAATCCTACATAGTATGCTTGTCTTCACTCACCATGTGGAGTAGAGGGAGTCAAGAATAACTGAGGTGGTTAAAAATAGCCACAATCTTAGTCTCACTCAGTATTGCCGGCAAGCTTCTCAGTGTTGTAAACTTTATTATAATTTTATTGTAAAATGGCTGCTGCATTGCAAAACATCCCTGTCTTTGTGTTAGAGCATAAGTGGAGTAGTGATATTGAATCAAATTTGTACAGTGATATTGAGGGGACAGTTGCACACATGAGTCCATTGAATTGTAGTAAGGAATAGTAGACATTCATGAATTCTACTGTACTTCCATGTTTCATGTTTATATAGCCTGTCAAGTTGCATTGCCTTGTTTTTTTCGTGATATTTTTTTTACAATTAGCCCTTCAAATAGAATGATATTTTTGTAAATGTAAATTTAAACTTCTATTATTGTAACAGGTAGTACACCTGAAAAGAATGAAAATAAAAAAATTGGACGAACAGAAAACTCTGATTTAATTGTGGGTTCAAATGTGAAGGTGCTTTTGGATTCTGATGTACACTATGGAGTTATTCGTTGGATCGGAACACCCCCTGGTATTACCCCTGGAAAATTAATGGCAGCTGTAGAATTGGTGTGTATAACGAAAGGGTTTCATCCAAAAAAATTTTTAATTAAACTATAAATAATTATTTCGTCTTCAGGACGATAGTCACCCATCAGGTACCGATGGAACATACAAAGACGTCCGATATTTCCACTGTCGACCTTATAGAGCTGTTTTCATAGATCTCGATCAATGTTCTCGTTGTGACACCATGGTAAATATTATTTTTTCACGATTTTTTCACTCATCTCCGTGTAATAAAAAGTATACTGTTATAGGCGAAAATTGATGATCCAACAACGTCGATAAGTACAGATAATTTCGGAAATATGGAAAGCTCTGTAATTGTCGGTATGGTGCGGCCTATTTCTGTAAAAGGAAACTTGGAAAGTATTTGCGGAAAATACCGAGGAATCCAAGGCCATCACAATTCGTGTTATTTAGATGCCACCCTTTTCAGCATGTTTACATTCACTAGTGTTTTTGATAATCTATTATTTAGGTATTGATTAAACATTACTCAATTTTTATTGAAAATAACAAGATTTTACATGTGATAATTTTTTTAAGGCCGCCAAATGAAAAGGACTGTCCACAATACGAAGAAGTACAAAGAGTATTACGCGAAGAAATTGTAAATCCACTTAGAAAAAATATGTTTGTAAGAGCAGATCGAGTGATGAAGCTGCGAACTTTGCTCGAAAAATTGTCGTCCGTATCTGGCCTTACTAGTGAAGAAAAAGGTACGTTCTTATGATGTAAGCGATCCATATTTCATAAATTAAAATCACTTGAACTCCTTTAGATCCTGAAGAATTTTTGACGTCCCTGGTTGCTCAAATTCTGAACGCCGAACCATTTCTCAAATTGAGTTCTGGTCAGGATGCATATCATTACCAACTTTTCGTTGAGAAGGACGATCACTTAAACCTTCCAACCGTACAACAATTATTAGAACAAAGTTTTCTTACAAGTAATATAAGATTGAAAGAAGTTCCTTCATGTCTTATCATACAAATGCCACGATTTGGGAAATCATTCAAAATGTATCAAAAGATTCAGCCTACGTTGTTACTCGACGTGACAGACATAATTGAAGATTGTACGTATTGTTAAAATATTCCTTTTATAATGAATTATATTAATATTACAATAAATTTCGGTTTTTTATTTACAGCTCCTCGGCAATGTACTGTTTGTGGAAAATTAGCAGAGTTCGAATGTAAAGAGTGTTACGGACAATGCGGTGCTGGTCTCGAAAGCACTGCCTTTTGCTTACAATGTTTAGAGACGGTACATTAGATAAGCAAATTTAAATAAATAGCCAAAGCTCAGATATTCTAAAAATATAATACTTCTTCAGGTACATCAACATGAACGAAGGACAAATCATGAACCAAAGAAACTTGTAGTACCAATGGAATTCGCTATATTGCAAGAACATTGTCCTGTCCCGCGATTGTACCTGGAACTATCAGCAGTAGTGTGTATCGAAACCTCTCATTATGTGTGCTTTGTAAAATGCGGTTCAGGCTCAGAAGCACCGTGGTGTTTCTTTGATTCTATGGCTGATAGAAAAGGTATTTCTATCATGTTTTGTATTAATTCATATAGTGATTAATTTTCGATATAGTAATTTATAAATTATTTTTTTGTCTTTAGGCGAACAAAATGGTTACAATATACCAGAAATGGTTCCGTGTCCAGACTTCCCATATTGGTTAAGCGAAGAAGGCGGAAATTATTTGACTGAATTAACGGACGACCGTCACCTACCAGAACATGCAAAACGACTTTTATGCGACGCATACATGTGCATGTATCAATCCCCCGATGTTATGATGTACAAATAAGTTGAATTGCCCGATAATTTAGGTAAGTTAGGTTTAAAGTCATTACTCAATGAACTTAAGCATAATGTTTGTGCTTGTTTTATTTATTTGATGTACGCAAATTGGTGGTACGACAAAGGCAATTATTCGTAAAAGACTTATATCAGTAAAGACAAGAGATTTAAAAAAAAAAGAAACGTGAGGCTGAATTGTATCGGCTCATAAAGTTTATTCAAATGCTGACAAACATGTAGTCTTAAGGAAACTAAAGCTATACATATGCTTTATACAAATCACCTCAGAATCATGTTTTTTAATTACAATTTAGTAATGTAATTCGAGCATAGTACGGTTTCATTTTAAGTTCAGGAGATATATGTATACATGTATATATTTATCAGTGACGTAAAATTAAATTTTTACACTACATGGAAGTTTTAAGAAAATCTACCATGCTATTGTAAAATTTATACATATTGCACGACCTATTGTTTATCAGTTTAGTCGAAGTTCAAAATATTAGATGGAAATCTTAGCAATTCGCGAAACTGAATGTTTATGCATCGATACATATATGTACTAAGATCGTGTAGGCTTATCAGAAATCATGTACATGAAACATAGAAAGAACACAGTTTTATATGAACAGTTTATCAATACATTAAAGACATTTTGTGACTGATTTTTATAGCAAAGAGCACAAACAGCTAACAAATTTTTTGTAACTTAAAAATATAATGACTAGGACTCAAAAGTTAATGCTGCACTTTTAGATCTACCGCTACTGTAATAATTTTGTACTCCCATTTTCATAGTATCAAATTAGATTTTTTTTTGTAGCTTTACTATTATTATTATCGTAAGAATCTTAAAGAATCTAATGGAGATACTTAGCACAACACCAATTTAAAATCCACTAAATTTGTTAATTCTTTTTTAATATAAATAACAAGAATTTTTTTTAATATTTTCAACTTGAATATCTTTTTAATTCATTTAGAAAAGGAAATCTATATAGTTTTTAGACTTATCAAAATTTGATTAACATATAGCAAATTTATATGTTTAAAATATATTGGATAACAAATGTGTACATGAAAATTATAAAATTGACAAGGAAAATACGAATCTAAAAATCTTACACAGTTGTTCTTCTGTTTGATTCTTTGTTAATTACAATTACACTTTAATATTATACGAAAAAAACTAAAAACAAAAAAGAAAAAAGGTAGAATTTCTATTAGAAATATCAAGTTTGAAACACACATCACTCCAAGAAAAAATATACAAGATAATTATGAAAAATGATGGTGTATCATTGTACATAATAAGAAAGTTATGTAATAGGTGAAGTTCAATGTTCATTCATGCCTTTGTACGGCAGAAGTAATAAAGATAATGACAAAGTTTGTAAACATGTATTATAAATTTAGTATCTATCTTCATCTTCATCCATGGCAAAGTCACTGCCAACGCCGGAATCTAATACGTAGAGAGGACTGTAAACATACACCGAAAAAAAAAAAGGTGATAAATACGACCAAACAAAGGTTGACCTAAAGAATGAGTATACTCACTTTATTGCTCTGCATGGGAAAAACACAATGCGTTTTAACTTCTTATTGTAGAAGAAATAATTAAAAGACCATAGACATCCATCTTCTCCAAATGGATCAGATGCAAAGTCTGGATTGTAACTAAAATGTTTTCATATTCTTAGTTTACTTAGAACATTTTACAATTTTCTCCCATGAGTGCAAAATGCTTGCACTCATGAGTGTAAATTCAAGGTGTCTGTACTCTGAAGACGTTGACTGAAATATTTACCTATAAATATCACATTCATTCAATGATATTTCATCATCGATGGCAGCCCAAAGGGCCGTTCGGAGGGTGCGATAATGATCTCCCGCGGTTGCACTCAAATTACTGTCTACAGCATTCATGACCCACTGCAAGCTTGGTTCTTTACTGAATTCATGGCTCTTAGCATCAGAAAAATCATAATCTGGATGGAAAGCTGAATTCAAAGTGGCAATCAAATAGAATAGTGTTTTTCTACTGATTGTATCACATAGTGGACCATCTTCATCACCAGAAACACTGTGGCTGTAGCAAAAATATGGAGGCTTGTTAAATAGATACACAGGTAACAGATATCAAAAAGTAAACATAGACATCTTATGATAAGGCACTGTGAGTTTTTATAGTTCTTGCTATTTTAGAATAGCATATTATTTTCTGTATTAAAGGGGATGATGATATTTATATTTGTAGGTTTATTATTTCATTACACCACAGTTAGAATTCTTAGTACCTAAAGTACCCTTGAGCAGGTGATGTTCCCAAAGATGTTTGTGGTGGTGACAAAGCTTGAAGATCATGTGGAGTAAAACCTTGTTCTGCATTGAAACGTTTGTACAGCTGTTTATCATTTCCAGCCATTTTGCAAGAGTAACTCTCTATTCTGCAGGTCAGAAGGGACAACATTTAATATTGTTCTAAATGGTTCATATCATAGATCTAATAAATATTGAACCAATCATCTCACCTGCCTATTATTTTGCTGTCTCCAGTCTTGATGGATAAGGCACTGTTTATAGCTTCAAAACGTGTACTCTCCAGCAACTTCATCTTGTGAACAGCAGCAGTTACCCTTTTATATTGTATAAGAACAGCGTCTCAGTACTGAATACCCTTGGTGCATCTCCTAGCGTAATGCTTTTGTCATTAATACTCCATTAGACAGGAGTTGATGACTTTTAGTGTGTTTTTCGACAATACTTGACCTCGTTTCTCAGTCGTACGGCCAAGGTGTTCAATATAATCGAAAAGTTAAAAAGCTTCTACGACTTCGAAGACATATTGAGTCTTTGTACATCTTTTTTATGTATATGAAAATTCCTTTCCTCTTCGAGTGTACGAAATTAATCGTGGACGTAATGATTTTTCCCGCGACGCCGAGCTTGTACATCACAGATCTCTAATTAAAGATATCGAGACGAATTTACGTCCGTGCGCAGTCCGATTTCAGCAATCGGTCCTCAGATTAAACCTTCAGCCGTGACCAGAGTGTTGCTGCTTTCTTGCAGCCGCGGTGAGTGACGTGCAAGCTAAAGAGAGGGAAAACGGCGTAAAGGACGGCCGACTACCCTTGACAAAACAAAAGACGCCGTTTTTTAAGTCGAAAACCCGCGCTAAACAGAAAGTTACTGGCGAATAAGCCACAATGTTGATAGAGAACAATGAATCAGGCTCGTTTATTGGAAGTCAGCTAAACAAAGTGACTAAGAAACTTTACACGTCCGCTACTGACGAAAACAATCCATAATCACGGACATTGTTGTCACTATCACTCGAATTATCACGGTCACTGTCAAATGAATGCACCCAATACTTGATCAAACTTCGTTGCAATAATGAAGGTTCGACAAACTTCAACCCTGTTCGTTCCTGTTTCCCACCGTTTACCAATTATTTGCGTCTTGATGTCAGTACACCTATATGCAACACGAATATATACGTTCTACGTGACAGAAATAGCACAGCGAAGCGTCTTGAACTTTTCTCTCTTTACCTCTCTGCTCTTCTCTTTTGCTCTTTTTACCCCGTCCCCCCTGTCTTTACCCCCTTGTCTATGTTTGTTTTTAGTGGGGATACGTACATGAATTTTATTCAGCCAATCGACAGCCGCCGATAAGGATGTGTATGTACAGGACGCGATGCAACGCGCTTGACTGTGTGCACGGTTGCGTATATGATTCAACTCTACTTTCGCGTATTCGGTTTAATTCTAACCTTGCAGAATGCTGACAGGAATTCGAATTTATTGGTAAAATGTCAAAACGTTGGGGTAGCGACTATGTGGTTACGGAGCACCGTGATTTACAGGTAGGTTATCTCATGAAGAAAAGATGTACATTGGGATTGTGTCTGTACTGTGCGAACAATATGTATTTCAATTTTAAATATTATAATACCCAATTGTTTTTCATTGTTAAACTATTTTTTTCTACTTATAGGCTAATACAATGGCCGTGGATGCGACTGGCAATTACGTGTTACTTGCCGGGTAAGTAATTAAAAAAAGAAGGGTTCTATATTTAGTAAAAAAATTTTTGAACCTTTGTATTTTTTAAATTTTACATTTTTTTTTCTACGTATTTTTAGACGCAGGTGTTTCGCGGTAAAGCATCTTGACGAGGGTGCTGATACTTTGAAAAAATTTCAAAGACAGAGCAAGTATGAAGTTGGCTCTGCAGAATGGAATCCCACAAGTATAAATTCTCATCTATGCGCTGTATCGGTTAGAAATTAAAGACTATGAGCTTTAAATAATGTGGTAGGTATATCTAATTGAATTTGAATTTTAGAGCAATACACGCATTGAAATATTGTCCCTTACTGGAACTGGTGGACATGACCTACAAACTACAAATAGCCTGAAGGCACATACAAGAGTAGTAAGTGACTTAAACTGGCATCCCAAAGAACCAGATACCATTGCTTCCTGCAGTATTGATACATTTATACACATTTGGGACATAAGAGATCAAAGAAGACCTTGTTTATCATTGTCTGCAGTTGGTAAATACCATGTCAATTAGAAGGAAGAAAAATGATGAAAAAATAATTTATAGAATATTTAAAAATACATGTAATTAACTGTGTTATAGCTGGTTCCTCTCAAGTAAGATGGAACTCTTTATCTCCCAACATGTTGGCTACAGCTCATGATGGAGATATTAAAATATGGGATCAAAGAAAAGGAAACAGTCCTATGCAGTACATAGCTGCTCATCTAACAAAAGTACAGCCTCACATTCCAATAGTTACTCAGTAACTTATAAATCCTATAAGATATTTGTAAATAACAGAATTATTTTAGATACATGGTTTAGATTGGTGTCCATTTCAACAAAATCAATTAGCAACTTCTAGTCAAGATTGTACAGTGAAAATCTTTGATATAAATAATCCGCGTAGGGCTGAAAGTATTTTAACAACAAATTCACCAGTATGGAGAGCTAGATATACGGTAAAAATAACGTTCTATTTAATAAAATTCACATTTATTCTGATTTATAAGAATTAAGTTATACACAGCCATTTGGAGAAGGATTGGTGACAATAGTGGTACCGCAATTACGGCGAGGGGAAAATAGTTTGTTACTATGGAACACGACAAACCTTAGTTCCCCTATTTATACTTTTGTAGGACATACTGATGTTGTTCTTGAATTTCAATGGAGACATCAAAAATTAGGTATATATCATGCAAATCAGTTTTTAAATCGAATAGAACAAAATATTACGAAATATATTATTTGCAGAAAATAGTGACTTTGAATTAATTACTTGGTCAAAGGATCAATGCTTAAGGATATATAAAATTGATCCTTTTCTAAAGAAAGTAGGTGTTTAGATGAATGTATATATTATAAAAAGATTAACATTTTCATTTATAAAAAAATATTTGTAATGTTCTAGTTATGTGGACATGGTATGGATGATGGTACCTCAATTTATACTCAATATTCTGATGATAGTAATTTAAGTATGTATATCCTACATATGGAACATATTTTCAATTCATTTAAACTAATACAATTGCCATTAATATAGAAACATTGCAATCCGTCCAACAATTACAACTAAGTGATACTCAAAACGATCGCGAAATGAACTGTATAACAACGAAAGTGGATGAACCTTCGTTAAATTCTGATACAGATGGATATATTGAAAATAATAAAGAAATATCATCCCCTACGCAACCAAAGACGTTACAACAAGAGTTTTCTTTGATAAACATGAATATACCAAATATAGAGGTAATTGATATGGACATAAAAAAAGTATATGAAAATACACGTTTTTATTCTTACAGGTCAACGCAATGGATGCTGTTGAACGTAGTTGTACCGTGACAGCGTCCAATAAAAGTTACAATGTGATATTAAAAGTAAATTTCCCGTCAAATTATCCATATAGCGCGCAACCTACATTCCAATTCTGTCCAGGAACAACGATCGATAATGCAACAATGGCGAAACTTTTGAAAGTCTTAAAACAAACCGCGCAGCAACGTGTTAAAAAGAATAGATCATGTTTAGAACCGTGTCTTAGGCAATTAATCACAACCTTGGAGCAAGTAAAGGAAAACTTAACTGTTTCAATTCACATTCATGTTTGTCTTGCATTATCTTTGATATTTTTCCTATTTCTGTAGACGTGTAAAAAAGACGAGAATGAAAGTAGTCATTTAGGATACGATATTCAAGACAATGCGAACTTCTTAAGCTCCTCAAACATGTATACGAATTATCAAGACGCCTGTATACCGTTTCCCAGAACGTCTGGCGCTAAGTTCTGTTGTGTGGGTACGTATACAAATAATTTAAGAAAAAGAAGTTCAAAATATATACTACGGTCATTCATTCTTTCACTAGGTATACTCGTATGTTTTGGCCGCGCTTCGTACACGCGAAGGTCGTCAATGAAACCAGAAAGTGCAACGCCTAGGGCACTGTCTGCATTAGAAAACGGAATGGGCAATGGAGAACATTTCATGCACATGTATCCAAATTCTTATGTACAGTCGAACGATAACATTCCTATAAGTTCTTTTTATTTTCAAGATCGTGTATGTATAATATTTCTTGTAAGAATGATAATAATACGAATAATATGAATAAAATTAAAGATTATTTTCAAATTAACAGAAAATGAATCGTGGGTTACATAACACGAATAGAATGAACCACAGATCATGTTGTAAAAACTATCATTTTATGGTAATAATATACGATGCCTCCTCTTTGTTTTTCGTCAACAAGGAGCTTGCTGAAAAATATGTGTAAGTGCCGTAAATGATTGTAATCACTGATACATCTTTCAACAAATAATCTTTCAATTATGTTTCGTGTGCAGCATCAATATCACCGATATTCCAGCAATGTGTCAGTACAATGCAAATGTCGCTGCATCATTAGAACGTCCTGATTTAGTTCAGGCATGGTGTTTAGCTGCCCTTGTAATATCTCAACCAGTATCGAATGTTGGGCATAATTCTTGTCAGTCACCAGATATCGATGCTCCGTGGCCTTTGCATCCTTTCGGGCAAAATTTAATTCACTCATTGTAAGTAATGAGTACACCACTTGTGAAGTAAAAATAATATCGTATATTAATTCTTATATGCTTTAGAATACAGCATTATGCAAATCAGTCGGACATTCAAATGGCAGGTATGCTGAGTTGTGCATTTAGTTATCGTTCGGAAAACCCAGACGTTACTCAGACACGACTAAACAGCAAGTCTATTAACATTAGTGTAAGTACGGCACATTCGTTTGCAAGTGATAATGAGTTCTGGCATGGCCTTGCACAAGCACTATTTTTATAGTATCATTGATAACCGAAATATTATATGTCTTGATCATAAATTTTGTCTTCTGTTCATGAAACATGCTGAACATCTCAATACTTGAGAATACTCTTCGAACATACTCATCTGTTATATCCCACTTGTTCATGTTTAAATGTTGACCTATTCCAACTTGCAGTATATCACATTTTTCATACTCAGCACACATTTCTTTTTTCTGATGCATGAATATGTACTATATACATACATACATACATATTATTTAACGATGTACATAGATGTTTTACCATACGACGGTATTGTATGCGGCGTGGTTTGTAGAGTGGCGTATAATTCAGAATTTAAATAGATCATACTATACCGACGTAATATGTACTTGTTTTATTTCAGTATTTTTATTCCTTTCTTTCAATGTACTCCTTTCAAAAAATTATCAAAAATGATTTATACGATATTATCTCTGTTATAGAGGCTTTCTACAGGAAAATGGTGGTTAAAGGTAAGGCATGGTTTTCGAATTTTCTAAGTTTGTTCGTGTTTGAAATGTATTTATTCTTAGGGTACTCTCTTATCATGATAATATTTGTTACTGCCTTACAGCATCGGAGTGGAAGTTTCGTGATGCCAGAAAGCATGCAGGTTTGGCCATGCTTGAATATTTAAAATGCCAAACTTTTCGATCTTTGCATCTAATTTAATTTTTTTAAATTATATGTGTATATACTAACCATAAATTATTGTATATATGTAGTAGTGATTAACCATATGTGATGTACTGTTTGTTGTAATAATATACATAGAAATTTTACACAGAAGACAAACATCTTTGTGCAGAAAGTGATCATAGACATTGTGCCTCTTATAATTGTCGATTATATGTATATTGTGTTCCTACTGTCCATGTAATGTATTTACAAATCGACCTGTAATTTTTTATATATCATTTGATATATCTTTTTAGCCTGGTGGTTCGCCGTACCACACGATTCATCTAGCTGATACCACGCTAGAAGGATGGAACTTTCAAAATTTGAAGCAACATCGATCCAATTCATGGTCTGATTCGCTAGACGAGTTAAAATTAATCCAAGACACGTTTGGTGACTCCGTAAGAAATATTAGGTAACTAAATGGATTTAGTGCATTCAAAAAATTTGTTTTTTTAAATTAAGCATGAATATTAATTATTCAGGTTGCTTGACGAAAAATATACCACTCTGTACGACGGCTATAAGAAAGCATACGCCGAAGTGTTACACAGGTGGCGATTATTAGATGCGCGTGCACAAGTATTGAAGCACGTGAGCACAACCCCGTTAGACACGCACAAAGGTGTCGAATTCCAAAGTGAATGTCAATTGTGCGGTAAAGTTAGCAGAGGACCTCAATGTATTAGTTGTAAACGATTAGCATTGGAATGTGTTATTTGTCATATCTCCGTGAGAGGTAAATCCAACTCATCGAAGTAGAGTTTTTTTCTCTCATGAGAAAATATATGAATTTTTTTTTCAACATTCAGGTCCAAGCAACTTCTGTATATTTTGTGGACACGGAGGACATACACAACATTTAGCGACATGGTTCACTAACGAAACATTGTGTCCCACAGGCTGTGGATGTTATTGCCTGCAGGAAAGTTCTGCCCTCTTAAAGCTGTAAATAGAAGAGAACAAAAAAGAAAAGAATTGTACATAACCGCGAAGATATCAAACAAATGTTATAAGAGGATAATAAATATGTTTTTTCTTTAACATTCTTCGCTCTCCATCGTTTCTTCTTCTTCATTTGGTTCCGCAAATTTAATGCTTTTTTCTTCATCTGGTACTTGGAGTATCGGCCTTTCTTCTTCATCTCGTTCTTCGCTTTTCAACGTTTCTGACTCGTTTTGTTCTTCAGACGAACTTGTTCCGAGGAACATTCTTTCCAATTCTCTTAATTCAGCTGCAAACGAAACGAGACGCGCAAAATATGTATTATACATGTTAACAAATATTTTAATGTACCCTCAGAAGAAAGTTTCCGTTGAAGGGCAAGACGTGCTTCTCTGGCTGGCCTCTCTCTCTCCTCTTTTTCTCGTATCACTTTTTCTATCGCACTGTATTCTCTTCGTTGAATGAAACCATGAACAACACCGTAAATTAAACACGTCCATCTGAATAACTGATAATGTAAAACGATTTTACACATAATAAAATTTTAATCCTTTGTTTGTTATAACCTTTATTATAGGGCTAACTTGTAATGGTGGTTGGTTAATCTTTTTCTCCGCCATTTAAACGAAACTTATTTTCAAACAAGATAGTTTTATTTAAAAGCAGTACTTGTATCTAACGATACGATTAAAAAAGGAACAATACAAAACATATGGTTACGATTCCAATGTCTCTCGATAAGTGAGATGGAACAATTAATGTTACAACGTTAATGTCGTAAATAGACAACTATAAAGGTCAACAGTCGATGATCTACATAAAAAAAACACCATCGTTATCGCGTTTTTATTGTGTCCACTGTGGATAGAGAAGTACATAAGAGCCTTTGAATCTTAAAAAACGACTAATATCGATAGTAATCAGCTTTGTAAGGTCCTTCTACAGGTACGTCGAGATATTTAGCCTGTTCCTCCGTCAATTTGGTCAGCTTCACTCCAAGGTGATTCAAATGCAACGCTGCAACCTCCTCGTCCAACTTCTTGGGCAACATGTGAACTCCAACTGGATAAGATTCAGATTTGGTCCATAATTCTATTTGAGCCAACACTTGATTCGTGAAAGAATTGCTCATCACGAAGCTGGAGTGTCCAGTGGCGCAACCAAGATTAACTAAACGACCCTCTGCGAGGAGGATGATGTGTCTAAAATGGGAGAACCTCATTAAACCTTGAAAAATCTACTCTAATTCACAGGGTATGAATTTAATAAATACAATGTATTATAAACTTCGTTTGAATGATTCTATATTGTTGAATTCTTGAGTTGTCTATTTCAAGAGTCTGTTGCATTATGCCCACCTGCCATTCTGTAATTGATATCTGTCCACTTGTGGCTTGATATTCACTTTCTCAACTGCGTTCTTCTCGAGCCATGCAGCATCGATTTCACAGTCAAAATGGCCAATGTTGCAAACGATAGCATCCTCTGGCATGTTCATAAAATGGTTGCCTACTATGATGTCTTTGCAACCTGTGGTCGTAACGTATATTTGTCCTTTAGTCGACGCTTCGTCCATCGTCGTCACCTAAGGAGTACATTTACCAGTTCACCGATTTCATTCTTTTCATGTGTGTGAAATCTTATTTTAAGTTTCAGTAATCACCTCGTAACCTTCCATGGCAGCTTGTAATGCATTAATAGGATCAATTTCTGTGATTATTACACGTCCACCGAGTGCTCTAAGACTCTGAGCACAACCCTTGCCAACGTCTCCATATCCAGCAACCACGCAGACCTTTCCAGCGATCATGACGTCTGTTGCTCGTTTAATTCCATCAATTAAGGACTCTCTGCATCCATAGAGATTGTCGAACTTGCTCTGAAGGACAGAAGAGTATTTTGGTTCACGTGAAACTTGGAATTTTCCATAATGAGAAGCAGACAATACACACAATTATCTATTAAGTTACTGCAGAAATCTCATATTATAAAGAATTTCAATCTTTCCAAAACTGTTGTCATATTATGTTATTCTAAAAACCTGCAAGTATCTTCTGCAGCAACTTAATAATTTTTTAAATCTCTCTTATTTCTTGAACACCAACCTTCGTTACCGAGTCATTCACATTTATTGCCGGCACCGTCAGAGTACCCTCTTTCATCATACGGTACAGATTGTGCACACCAGTAGTTGTCTCCTCAGAAATACCACGACACTCCTTCAGGTATTCTGGGAACTTGGTGTGCACCAAATTAGTGAGATCGCCACCATCGTCGAGAATCAGATTCAAGGGTTTACCATCCATGAATACTAGAGTTTGCCTTATGCACCAAAGGTACTCTTCATCTGTTTCTCCTTTCCAGGCATATACAGGAACTCCTGCTTTTGCTATAGCTGCAGCAGCATGGTCTTGTGTGCTGAATATGTTGCACGATGACCACTGAACCTATTGATATAGCAGTAAACGAGTCAGTATCGTCGACGTTGGTTGCTGAAGTATTGTGATGTAATTTTGGTGTGGAAATATTGAATGACGATTGCATAGCGATGAGTGTTTAGATATCGAGTTCATTGAAGTTTTGTTGGAGTAACAATTATGATGCATTCGTGTTTCATGAAATATTTGAGCAATAAGTAATTCGAAAGTCAAGTTTTTTTTTATCAATATCCGAAGAGACTGAAATTCGTGATTTTTAGAGTGGGTCACGGTAATGATAAGGAAACGTCGATCATTAAAAGTCAATTAAAGTACATTCCTTTGTATTGAAGTAACATAATGTAGCAGAGAATGTTGTTTTCGTTGTATCATAGAAATTTAAGACATTTATACATTTTTTCATGATTTTCAATAAATGTTAAAGTGTTTAATATTTCATAATGGTGACCAGAAATGTGAGTCACGTTTTATCATCTTAATCTATATTTGAGAATGACTTGAAAGATTTCCGATGTCTGATAGAACTGTTGTTGAATCTTGCAAAAGATTCGGGGTCATGATCTGCGAGATAAACTTTCATACGTGTACAATTGCGCGCCATTTTTACTATCCACTTTCCTGGTACAAATTTTTTCTACTTTTCGAAGACCTATTTTAATTTTTACGAATTTTAATTCTTTACATAATTTTTTTAATGTTTCAAGCCCAATAAAAATACTTAAAAATTTTAAAAATATCTTCATTTAATAATATTTCATTAATAATTCAAATAAAATAAAAGTATTGCGCATGTCAGGTTCCATTTTGGAGCCAGATACGAACAAAAATGGTATGTTCCGAATGATACCGAATTTTGGAGCATCAACTACAACAATCGTGATATAAAAATTTATCAACTTACCTCAGCACCCAGATCGATCAGAGTTTCAATAAGAACTGCGGTTTGTACTGTCATATGTAGACAACCGGCAATTCGGGCGCCTTTTAAAATCTTTTGAGGACCATACTTTTTCCTGATGGCCATAAGCCCTGGCATCTCGTGTTCTGCCAAAGTAATTTCTTTCCTTCCCCATTCCGCCAATGACAAATCAGCTACGACCAATAGAAATTTAGTTTATTAATTTTAAATTATCGTCAATTGATTGTTCATCGAATATTTCAAGTCAGAGTCGCCTTATGACACATTTGTAATTGTTTCGTTACTGTGTTTCAACAAAGAATTGATTTAGAACGACCATTTTCCTTTTGTGATCTATTTTACCATTGTTTGTATTTGTAAATCAAGATAAATGTTATTGTGGAGCATGGGGTGCTTGATTTAGCAGATGTATGGCCGTGTAGGTTAATCTCTACACTGACAGTACATATCTTCATTTAATAATATTTAATTAATAATTCGAATAAAATAAAAGTATTGCGCATGTCAGGTTCCATTTTGGAGCCAGATACGAACAAAAATGGTATGTTCCGAATGATACCGAATTTTGGAGCATCAACTACAACAATCGTGATATAAAAATTTATCAACTTACCTCAGCACCCAGATCGATCAGAGTTTCAATAAGAACTGCGGTTTGTACTGTCATATGTAGACAACCGGCAATTCGGGCGCCTTTTAAAATCTTTTGAGGACCATACTTTTTCCTGATGGCCATAAGCCCTGGCATCTCGTGTTCTGCCAAAGTAATTTCTTTCCTTCCCCATTCCGCCAATGACAAATCAGCTACGACCAATAGAAATTTAGTTTATTAATTTTAAATTATCGTCAATTGATTGTTCATCGAATATTTCAAGTCAGAGTCGCCTTATGACACATTTGTAATTGTTTCGTTACTGTGTTTCAACAAAGAATTGATTTAGAACGACCATTTTCCTTTTGTGATCTATTTTACCATTGTTTGTATTTGTAAATCAAGATAAATGTTATTGTGGAGCATGGGGTGCTTGATTTAGCAGATGTATGGCCGTGTAGGTTAATCTCTACACTGACAGTACAGTGGTTGGTTAGTTATTTAATACTTCTTGATTCGAAATCACAGTTTCATTGAATTTCTTGTGACTTCATTATTTTATACACTTCACGAAATATCGTATTTTAAATGCCATGAAAGAAGGTTAGAAATTCTACTTCAAAAGAACGACCACGTGTTTAACTAACATAATTCTGATTTTAATAATGATCTCGTAACTTACCGACTTTAAATGGAGGCTTGGAAGACATTCTCTTGAATTCAGAAACAATTGGTGCAAATAATTAAGTTAAATTAAGTTGTAATTTAAAGAACCGAACAAGACGCAATCTTACGAATTACACGTTTCCGCCGGCGAGTTGCGGTGAAACTAGTTGTTACGGAAGGATCGTTGCATCGGTTTCATTTTACTTTGTTCCACCAGGGATCGTGGCTACTTGTTGGTTACGTGCAGCTTTCAATATTTTTGGCGGGAAAATTTTTTTTCTTAAATATCTTTTCATAGATGAAATTTCACATACGTGTAAAATTTTATATTACTCGATACTTAATTTTTATTGTAATATTGTTACAATTTTTTAGATAATTTATCAGCAGTCAATAATATTGTAAACTGTAAAACAGAAAGTCGGAAATACAGGTGTTTGTGCTATCGACAGATCAGACATTATAGCTGATAAGATATGAATCTAGTTTTACACGATAAATTACGAAACTGTTTTACCACGTAATCATAACTTCTGTACAAATTTATTTGCAATGAAATTTACATTAAGAGGTGCAATTTTTTAAAAATTTTATCTCTAATTTGGTGGGTTAGTGTCCAGATCAGGAAACTTGGTGCCATCACGAAGCATTTGTCTACGAAATTCCTTAGCCTCTCTTTTTTCATCGAAAAGCACTGGATCCTTGTCGATTCGCGTCAGGTTGGGCAACATAGCCAAAACAATGTGCCTATACGCAACTTCTTCCTCTGCTTCTCTATCAGGGACCGTAGGATTTTCCAAAATAACCAAAGTTTCTAACGCTGGCAAGCAACTTAATTTTTCCAATTCCGACAATTTTATAATCTCATTATTTCTGAGATTAAGATAATTCAGCTTAACACAACGTGAATCAAATCCAGTTAAATTCGATAATTTATTACTCCTCAGATGCAGAGTCGTTAAATTAACCAAAATTTCTAGTCCTTCCAGCTTCTCTATCTGATTCTCAGCGAGGAATAATCGCGTTAACCTCGGGAAGAATATTCCATTGGTCGTGGTAAGTATATTTCCACGTAACTCGAAATGTTTCAAATTTTCGAGGTCGTACGGATTTAAAGTCACTTCTTCGATATTGTTGTGGTTCAATTCCAGGCATTCCAGTTGTTTATGGGAAATACCTGATGTGCTCGTCAATTTATTTTTATTTAATGTAAGAACCTACACGGTGAATATACACGGTGAACTTCAATAATATTACAATCAGAAAGAAGAATAGGTTAGAGGGTTAAAATATTCCGAAAGAAAAATAGAATAAGAGGTTAAGAAATTCAAAAAGAAAAATAGAATAGAAGGTTAGAAAATTGGAGGGAAAATTTGATTATGAACCTGAAGATAGGGCATAGGTTCCAGTTCCCCAGAGGTCACGTGATTTCTGTCAGCTCGAATCATTAAAAGATATTTCATGGACGTTAAATAACGAAGAGCTTCCGTTGTCAGTCTATTTCCAGAAACGTCCACGTAAAGAACGTATTTGAACATAGGAATAACTCTGATGTCTGTCAGTCCCTTATTAGATGCATTCAAACATAAATAAGCGTAACCAAGGCCTGACTCGCATTTTCCCAACATGTGAAGACATTCTCCAGCTTCTGAATGTGTTAATGCTCTTGTAGTGTCATCGAAAATGGACGACGATTTTGGGGTTGGATATCTTTCAGTCTCACCCTCCTCTTCGTCGTACTTTTTACTTTCCACTTCTTCCTTGTCCATTTTATTCCAATTTTATTCCCCTTTCTAATTAAAAGTATATAATTAACCTTTAACTTTGACGAACATTCAAGAAATGAGATCTATCTTCGTTTGTTTATTACCAAAGTACAATGTACAAAAATGAGCCATTCAGATGAGCCAAACTGATCAACACCATTTTTTGCAATGTTTCACGTGATTGACACTTAAGTTTTCACAAATGAAATTAATTACCTTGATAATTTTATTTCTCACCACCAGGTGATAAAACTTTTTATTACTGCCGAATGGTGAATAAATAATAAAAGTTATATGTTTAATAATACATTATGCAGTATTCGTTTGTGTATATACACTGTGTCTCGTTTATAACGAACATCCAAATTATTTCCACAGCTATTGAATGTAAGAAAAACTCAAGGATTTTAGTCGTGTTTTCTTCATTTTAATAGCAGCAATTAATTCATTTTATATGTTCGTTATTAGTGAGACACCTTGTACACACTACAAAAGAAATTTCAAAAGCCGACATTCATAAATTCATCAATTTTCTTTATTTTTTATTTCACGGAGTTAGTCACTTTAGCTCGTGAAAGTGAAGTTGTCTCGTGTAAAATACGACATTGCAACATTATGAAATATAAAAATGTAGGAAAAAAAGAGATCCATAAAATTCGTCAGACTTTTAGAGAATTCTTATTCAACGTGTTCTGATGCATTTTGAGTCGTCCCATCTCAATCTGTAAGTATGTTGAATGGGTGGTTTCCGGTGCATGATGTCGCGAAGCTTCTTCAGAAGAATGAAATTCTCCCTTAAAATTCGATCTTGCTTCTCGCGTTCCAATTGCAACCCTTTCGCGTTCAAGATAATGTGAGGTCTATTCTCTGGTGGATTCACGTCAATCGCACATGTAGCCTTTTTCACCTGGATCAATTTAATTAATTAAAAATTGAACGAAACGAATTTATTCATTTTACCTTCAAACGATGTCGTTCGTACGCTTCGTGCTTCCATATAGACGATGCTGAAGAATTCCTCTTTTCCTTGGACATGTTGCTCGTTCGATCAGTCAGACTCGTTTCGAGTGTTTACACGATATACGTGACACGATTACCAAGTTTCTTTAGCAACGCTTTCGCGACCAGGCGGTATCGATCTCGGACTTATTCGACGACCACGTATATATAATACTGTGTTTCTATAGAATACTATCTTTACTTTGTATCGTCAGGTTCAATGAAGTTTGGGCACAAATATTAGTTCAAATTTCAATATATCATAATTTTAATTTATCTAACAGTTTTCCGTTAATAGGATTTCCACATAAGGCCGTTAATAATTTTCTTGTTATTGTGCTTTTATATTTTCAAATGGTTTTAACAGTTTATTTATTTAATTTTATTTAGTAAAAATTGAAATTAAAATAAAAGTTTGAAATTAAAAATTTGTATTATTAAACATAAATTATAATTTGCTAAACAAATTGCGGTGGGGTGAGGTTATGGCAGGAGAAAAGAGAAATAAAGAGGATTAGGCGTACAAGGAAAGGTTATGGGTGATTCGTCCTGGACCTCCTAAAAAGTGGACTCGTTAGTAAGTCTACCTCTTTAGGAGACTTAATGCCTTAGACGCGGAAAGACTATTAGTCTCATTGTCAGGTCGGAAGAAGTAGGTATATGTATACACAAACGGGAGCCTTTAGTGAGAAAATTGGTCGTTAGTCCGTCCATCTAGTGGTGGAGCGCAGGAGCTAGGGTAAAGTTGCCTAATATGAGAGCCATTTCTTAAAGAAGTCGTAACTGTCGACTAAGAACACTTTTATTAAAATTCGATACATGTTTTAAAAGTATGATATGTATTCTTTTGTAAGGTACTGGAATGTACAGTAAAGAAAATTCGGTTCCTTCGTAATAAAATAAAAACGAAAATTATGCAAATACACAGATTTCAAAAATGAGAAAACTATTTTTTCTGTCTTCTTTCACACATTGGGTACACCGGTAACACTTTGTACACTAAAACAAAATTGGGTACCTAATATGAGACTCTTCTTGTAATAGGAACTTCCGAAACAATAACACGATAGCTATTAAGTAGCCTCGAGGTTAAGTCTTCGTTATTTAACGATACGCGACTAGTACACCTAATATGAGACTCTTCTTGTAATAGGAACTTCCGAAACAATAACACGATAGCTATTAAGTACCCTCGAGGTTAAGTCTTCGTTATTTAACGATACGCAACTAGTACGCCTTAAACTCCATTGCATGCACTATACAACAGCATTTATGAAAATGATTATAAACTTACTATTTTCGAGGTATTTGTAATTTAATCGAACCACCTGAAAAACTTTCTGCAACGTATTGCACAAATGTGCTTGTTGAAGACGCTTGATTGATTTCAATCAAATTTCATATTTAATTTGATAATTAACGCGGTTAATTACGAAACGAAACAGCATCGCTACGACATTCAAGAGTTACCCTACCGCCACAAAATTAAATAAATTATCTTAGTACAGCTTGCATATTGGATATTTTATATTCAATTTACTCCAATTGATTTTAGCAAAACCATTCAATTTCAGATGTTTCTATTCATATTTACATTAACAATTAATTCACTTTAAGTATTTTGAGTTAAAGAGTAAATGTTACAGTGAAAAGATAATTAGATATCTGCTGCGCACACTATACTTACTTGCTTAAAAGGGGGAGACTCGTGTAACTCGCTAAAAATAAGGTGATCTTCATGAATTTATTCTTCGGAAACTATCGAATAGAAATTCTTCAAACTTGTAGGATATTTTATTCAGCATTGAGAAATGTAGAAAATATTTTTTTTAGTGTAAAATAATTCGATTATTACAAACTGTAGGCCTCAGCGTCGACGTAGTCAATCGGCGTGCAGTCTAGCGTCCGTTAAACTTACCTAAAGCAAAAGATTCATACAATTTTCTATTTTATATAAAATTACGCTCTGGATGAACCTAAATTTTCAAAAAGTGATGCAAAATAGAGGAAATAGCGGCACTTTGAAGAAAAAGTTGCGATTTTGACGAAAAATTTCTGTCTTAATCGTACAATAAAAGTAATTAAAATTAATAATATCGTTAAAATTATAGGTTCATCCAGAGCGGAATTTATTTATCTACATACTTGTACAGGGGCAAGTCAATTGATTGAATATTTTTTTAGCTATGCTGCAAGCCAATTTGAGAAAAAGTAGTTTCGAGGAAAATGCGTTTAAAGTTTTAGGTATTGAAAAGTAAGAATTTTTAGAAACTTACACCCGGTTCTTGCTAATCTACTACTCCAGGCATATTCAGCAAACTTGCTACTTCCTCGAAAAATTCTTGTTGTTCGAATTGTTGTTGTTTCAACCTCCGTAGTTATATTTAAGCTGCGCCGTTTCTTCATTTTCAGCCGCTCCGCGTCGTAAGTGCCGGTGAAAAATGTCCATTCCTGTCCAAAATTGAATTCTAGTTACGCCATTTCATCACATCTCTCCTTATCGTTAAGTCGTAATAATTTGACAGTTTTTTTTCTAAGGACGTATGTTAACTTATCTTTATCTCCAAGTTGTTTTTGTTTTCTTTTCATATTCCGAAGCTGCGTACCCGTGTATTTTTGTTTTCCAACGTTACCAACACATTCATTTTTCACACTTGAAAATCGTCGCCATAAGTATTCAAAATTAAAATTGCCATTTATATACGTTTCTGAGTCTCCGTCGCCGATATACACTTACCGGCCAAAAGTTTGGAATCACCTGCCACTTTTCATCAATATTAAATCTGCTGCTAATTTTTTATAGATTTGAAGTTTATCTCAATTCTACATTTATCAATTTATCTCACACCAATTTATTCGAATGATAAAAAATTCTCAAAGTCGCTGACTTTTTTCTGGAAATTTTTGTGTAAATTGCAATGCTCGGTGATTCCAAACTTGTGGCCGGTAGTGTATGTATCTGGTGTAGGAGCTGTAAAATCTGTTGTAGACTTATTAATACTTCGAATTTCAGTTTACAACTTCACGGACATATTTTTTAAAAGAAGAATTTTTTTCGACTTGTTACACGAGTCTCCCCCCTTAATTACAAACGAAATAAAATAGTGTTGGGATTTTGCCTTTTGGGTAAGGTGAAATGCGGAATAACTACTGGTTCATTGCTATAACGGTAAGATTGCCGGTTGCTCGCATGCTCGAGAATCCGCTCACCGGAAAAGGAGATCGCGCGGTGATCGGCAACGCGGTCGGTTACAAAGGAAACAAAACGCCTCCTCAAGCGTCTTACGCGGGCACTTCGAATTTCCCGCCAAATAGAATTATTAAATTCCGAAGAAAATAATTTCAGTACGATACGTTTCACGCTAGAATGCTTTAGTACAATATATTTCAGGCTAGAAGCGTTCAACAGTTCCTCGTACGCACGTGCGTGCATATGCGTGTGTGTACACTTATGAACCACTACCGCTACCTCGCCGCTGCGATTCTCAATCACCGCGGAAGGCAGTGATTGGAGGGCGCGCTAGACCAATCGCGTTACGCCGGGGCCGTGGCCTATCAGACGCGCGTTTTATCCGCCTGGTCGCGCGACTCCGTGAAACGCACGCGTGAAATTAATTTCGCCGTGCTTGGAATTCATGGCGACAGGACTCCCCGCGGTGCTCAGAAACGAAAGGCGTCGCGGCGAAATTCAATTTCGGCGGCGTTCGATGGATTTCTTTGACAAAGAAAAACTTCACCCGAGCATTTTTCGCTGCTTTCTGGATCGTTGATTTATTCATTTATTTATTTCATGAAATCACATAAACAGAGGACACATCAGGTATTGATAATTGCAGAGAAAAAGAGAAACTAGGATAAACGAGAAATTGAGTATCTAGTATTACAATTATTGGAAAAAAGTTTGAATTTTTAGGCATTATAAAAATAATGTTTTTGGGTTCGATAATTTAAGTTGATAGACAAAGTTGTTATCGCAGATGTTAAAATTAAGGTGTTTGGTTGTTGTATTTAAGAAATAAGCATGTTTCAGTAAAACGAGTGTACCTGCAATGGAGGTTTTAGAAGTCGGGTAATTGTTTTCATAAGGAAAGTGTTTTAATAACATTTCTTTTACAACCCTGGAAAGGGAAATTAGTTTTGTTCTGAAAAATAACGCCTTAGGGGAACTTCATAACAGGAAATTCGGAATATTGGCGCAGTAAACCCTAGCAAAACGTCCCAAACTGTCAAGGAGGTCATAAAAATAGGCTATAAAGCTAAAACTATAAACCCATCCTGGAATAAACTGGAAATATGAGAATATTCTTACCTGGGACGAAATTTCGAATATCCTCATAAATTACCGAAAACATTATTCCACTAAGAAAATACAGATCTATATATTTATGTTCCTAAATATTCTAGGCAATTTTCTTCATACAGTAAAAAGTCGTCCAAATGACAAAAACTCAAGTTTTTAATTCTAGAGTGATAATGAAAGTGGACTAAATGAAAAATCTAAAAAAATGGAATTTATCACTTATTTTGTGTTGCATCGATTTTTGGACAATTGAACTTTTAAATAGAGTTGGTAGTGAAAATATCAAAAATTTGTGTATACAATAGACTCCCGGACAACGCGAATTCCTATAACGCGCAAGAGATTATGTCTGTTTTCATATAACGCGAATCCTCGTACAACGCGCCAAATAATAAAACACAGGAATTCCCCTAATTTAAAAGTTGAGCATTACACTGTTTTCTTCATCGTTACCAACTTCTTCTGTTTTCTCTTGATTGTTTCTTTATTGCATGCATTAATAATATGATTTTTTTTAAACCAACAGCGTATACCTATATGTCACTTTTTTCAAAAAACTGTCATATTTGATGAAACATAGGCAATAAATAATGGCATGGCAATAATCATTCCAAACGTGATACTTTAGATTATTCGCGTTATGCGAGAAAAATTCTCGTACAGCCCGAATTCCTGTAACGCGAATTCATACAACGAGTAATGTATGAACCCTCTATGGGCCGAATATTTTTCTTGACTGTAAAAGAATTTATGTAACGTAAAATTAACAAATATCGACCTATAAATACAGAATAACAGTGAATTCAACAGTTTCAATAATTTTATCATAACGAATACATATTGTAACTTTGAAGTAACAACGGTTATCAAGAAAGTTACTGGTTAATAAGGAGACATTGTACAACAAGACGTTCATGCCATTTTGTGGAAGGAAGTTCAATTATTTAATAAAATATCGATATATTAGTATGTGACTTGAAAGTTACACGGGCCCATATCTTGAAATAAAGAGAATATAATGTAGGGTAAATGGAGAAGTGATGGACTCTATGCGTGAGATGGACCATCTACGTGTATAATTTTTGGAATACTCGATAAAATTCAGGACCATTACCATACTTCATATGTTGTATTTCCCGCCAGAAGTTTATCTAATTGCGTTTACATAAAATGTAGGTACGTTTTTCGTACTTTTCTTTCAACTTGGATGTAAATATTTCTTGCTTACAATTTCGCCTTTGCTATATGCATAGTACCGAATTAATGCGTTTTGGTTCAACTAACTTACAGTGTATGGGGTAGTTGGATCATTGTTATAATTTCTTATATGCTTATTCTTGAAAAAAGTATAACAATTTCTTTCATCATAAGCAAAACTTTCTGCTTTTTATTCAATTAATTATACGTGAAATTCTATCTTTAGAAAACGTGGTCTATCACTTAGGCGACTTTCATAATCATAAACAGAATTATCTCAAAAAAGCAAATTTCTTCCAATAATAAAACTTCCAAAAATTCTTCAAGAGCTCCGTTTTACCTAAGACTGCATCTGATACGCTTTTCTCCGCTAAATACCAATTTACAGACGCCTCCACTGTCGGCACGAAGCAGCAACAAAGGAAGAAGAGTCGAGGGTAAAAAGAGGAAGAGAGAATACACTGGTGTATCCATAGCCTGTAACGCGGATCGTGGCAAAGGGTCGTCGATCTTAATCGCGGATCCTCGACAATGATCCTCTCGAACGGATGAGCCCTCGACACTCCAGCAAACGATGAAGATCTCTTCCCTCGAGGGGATACACGGTGTTCCATCGACAACTAGAGGACCCAGCATGAAATAGGGATCCCCTAACACGTATTTCCCATATCTACGGGGGATATGTCAGCCAATCCCTGTACTCAACTGTTCCTGCTACAGTATATTATATTATCCTCGTGCTGTACTCTTTTCGCCTCGCTCATCCTTTTGATCCTGTACCTCGACAAGCGACGCTTTCAACGTGCTACCAGCTGACGTCGAAGACCAGTCTCCTCCCTTTTTTTTTTTATTCTCCCTTTCTTCATTTGCGATTGATGAGGGCTGTGGAAAATGGAGGATGGAATTTGAGACGTATCAAGAAAATTTGACAGTTTCTTTAGGTTTTCGTTTGGAAAATATGTGAACCTATAAATAATTTTTTTTCTAGAATCATTATGTGTGGTGTGTCTCAAATTCTAACCCAATTTTCAGCAGCTATTGCCTTGTAAATATTGTCAGTTAATAATTGTACACTTTAGATTCCATGTTTTATGTAAATATTGTAAACAATATATAATAATAATATTAACTCTTTTAATTCCACTCGAAGAATCTTTCCGACTGATATCGTTACATATGGAAACTTTCTAGGTACCGTGAAAATTTTATCGAAATGTACAGAAAAATGTAGAGTCTAGAAATTTTTTTAATAAAACCTTTTATCCTCCTGTTAACGCAATGTGAATCGAATTTTGATTCAACATTAATCGCATCAAATACAACTTACACGATATTTCCAACCCAATTTATAGAAACTGCTACACAAGCAACGCTGTAATACACTTTCTAATCCCATTCCCAAGAATTCAACAGATATCCAGCTCTCTAAAACCGTAAACACGGTTCAGGGTGGGCTAGCATGCGAGCCGCTGCGAAATCCGGTAACGCAGTTTCGGAGTCACCCCGTAATGTGTCCACACCTCCACGAAGGGTGACTCGTACGAGGGAAGTGGTTGGGCAAGATCCCCTCCCACCGCGATTCACCCTTCCCTGATTCGAGGCGGCGAGTAGTGGGGATAGGGTAGGCGTGACGATGGGCGTGGCCTAGCGAAGGACGAGGAGAGTCGTAGCTTTTAGCGACGGTTGTCCTTAGTCTCCACTGAGACGCCGCACGGCGCAGTTGAACGGGCGGAATTCGGTCCTCTATATCTGTGCAAACTTTTCTCGTTTTCTCTTGTTGTGTACACGGTGAAAGGATATAACGTTAAACATATATATGTAGAGAATCTCTACGTTAGAATATATTCTATATTGTTTCCTCTCAAGTGTGGTTGTTCACGTTAACCACGATAAGTAAAGCGTGCCAATTCTTGATCGTACAGATCGATTGATCGGACAGAACATTTTAGAGAAGTTGATTTTTTTGGAAGATCGGTGCAAAATGATGCACACGATGAGCGAGCACACTGGGGGAGCTGGAGGATTGGGTGTCAGCGTGTTGCCCTTCGACGGAATGGGATTGTTCGAGCAACAGAGACCAAGGTTTCTGTTCAAGATGCCCAGGGTGGTGCCCAATCAGAAGGCCAAGTTCGAGACGGAGGAGCTGTTCAGGAGATTGAGCCGTGAGAGTGAGGTAAGATTTTTTTGGAAATATTACACGTTTAAAGGGATTATTATCGGAGAAATAAGGGAAGTATCATTAGAGTCGTGGACGTTAATTTCTTGCTGGCTCAGATTCTCGTAGGATTCGTATTTAATTATTCGACGATGAAATTGAAATGACAATATTAGAGGAATTAAATCTAAGGATCTGTAATATAAATAAGGTTCGAATAAGGTCTCAGAGAGTAGGCAAAAACGTTAATTACCTAGAACACCAGCGACTTAGTACCTATATTTCTAATTGTCTTCTAGAATGATCCAGGGTTAATTTATATTCACATTGTTTCAACGATATTTACTTACCTACATCCCGTAACACAATACTTATAAATACTACAAGTTTCAAAGTCAGATTTCGATATTGTCTCTCCTACTCTAAATCTACTATTATGAATCATATCAAGAGACACCTAATATTCCGTTAACTCTGTTCGGTTCACCTGTTTAATATTCAACAGAGCCTCTCCAATCTGTGATTCATACGATTTCGTAGACTTTTATTTACGTGAATCATTCAGATTGTGTTGTTCCAAAGAAACTGATACCGGAAGCGATGTTAATTAATTAATTAATTAATAAGAGTGACTCAATTTGAACTTGTGGATTCGTTCTAAAGGAATATTGTTGGCTCTTCGAATTTCACGTGTTTCTTCTTACGTTGTGCAAGAACTTAATTTCTGTCGTTGATTTATCTCTCTTCCGACGACTAGATTAATCCTTTGAATTTATCATTAAATCGTAGTTGTGAAGAATGTTGATTAAACGAGGTCTTTTTTAGATTATAAGATTATTACGAAAATTCTGAATGAAAGATAAATAAGGATTGTTCTATTGGATTTGTGCAGGTCAGATACACTGGTTACCGAGACAGACCAATCGAAGAACGTCAAGTTCGCTTTCAAAATGTCTGTCGGGAGGGCTACACGGAGATCGCGTTCGCGGCGACTGGTACGAACCTTCAACTTGTTTTTGGCAACGCGTCTGGAAATTACGCTAGCGATATCAACGACTGCGATTTCGAGAAGGAGCGTGGCAAGGTGAGTGAAAAATGTTCGTCACGGTGTTTCCTCAGAAATCGTTTACAAGCTTCGATGACACGGCATACACACTTTCCATAAATCTCAATTTTTTGGAATTAGGAAACAAATATTGTTTATTAAAACTTTCAAATTCAAATTTTCATCAAATGTCCATTCTCGGGATCTTGAATTTATTCTAAAATCTTGATTTTGACGCCTTCGTGAATTTATGTAATTTAATTGAGTGGAAGTGAAAGAATCGCGTGGTAGGATAATCAAAAAGAAAAATTGATCCGTTTCCTCGTGATCTGTAGCAATCTGTACGTTCATAGCCACGTAGTAGCGATTGTATCTCTAATTGGACGATTGCCGCCGGACAAATGGGGAGGTCATTAAACAGGCCAGCTTGAACAGGACGTCTACTTTTTCGTGTCCTTGGCATCGTATGTCCCGGGACGTCGCTTCGCCCCCACGAAGCAATTTAGTATCCGTTTCTACCTCTCGAACAATAGTGTCACCGTGTCACCGTTCTCTACAGAATAGCAGACATCCGGTCCCGAAATTTTCAGTATCTCTGCGGGAGGCTGACGAGACTTTCTAAATGACGAGATTATTTATTGATCCTACGAGCGCAGAATTAACTAAATAACCTTAAAATAATTTTTCAAATTTCCGACTTTGCGATTTAGATTTTACAATAAGTAGATGTAGTAAACATTTTTTTCAATTTTCAGTACTTATCTCTGCAGCTGGCTAACGAGTCTTTCTAAATGGAGATTTTTCATCGATGACTCGAGATTTAGATTTTCCAAAGAAAATATAACGAAATCTTTCTTATTTAGAATGAAATTTGAAATTTTGTTTTTCATTCTGACATTCGGTTTTGAAATTTGCGACATCTCTGCAGGAGGTTAACGAAACTTTCTAAATAGAGATTTGTCATCGACGACTTGAGATTCAGACTTTCCAAAAGAAACAATTGTTTTTACTTAGAATACAATTTGGAATTTTGTTTTTTATAAAATGACTTTTCGAGTGAGACATTCGATAGGATACGAAATACTTGTACGCCGGCGTCGACAGAGGGGCGACGCCTTAGCGTCGCCATCGCGATCGATATGTGCGTCGCGAATCCGCCATTTTCTACAGAACACGCGTCCAGATTTTGCAAATGTCTTCTTCACATTCGTTTTTCTCCTTCGTTATTCTTGTTTTTGCAAATTTAATATCGAGGGTTAATTTGTTTAGACGTACGGAGAACATTGAAAAGACACTTAAGATTCATGGTAGCACGCGAGTTTTTGAAATCAGAAAATTCAACGATCCCATTAGCAGCTACTAGAGCCAATTAGCGCTTCTTGAAATCCATCAAACGGACCGAGAGAGCTGGTGCCAGATGCCTCAGCGCTTTACAAGTCACCCGGTATATAATGGGTCATAAATCTTGCTCCGTCTCTCTTGGCATCCTCCGAAGGGTGAACGAAAAGTCCTCTGTTAGGATTCTTCGGGCAGTTTCGGCTTTAGAGAACTTGAAAGAAATTGTATTTTGCTTTTATTGGTGTTGAACGCTTTAAACTTTGTTGCAACGCTTGATAGTTTTTGGTTTAACGTCGATTCCACACGGGTTTAGCGTCTATTCTAAATATCAATTCCAAATTGAGTCTACATTAATTCGCCGCTGGCTCCTAAATGATTCTCTATCGATTTCAAATCGATTCATTCTCGAATTTCTGTCGATTTCACGTATCAATTCACTCTTTATTCCAAATTGATTCCGTATCGATTCATCTTTGATTCCATACAGAGTGCAAAGTAAAATCTCTTAATTCCAATTCACCACTAATTCCCACTAAAACAGAATCTTACACGAAAGCCTGTTCCTGCATAACATTCATATTTCGTATGAATCACTCCAGGAGCTCCATCGAACCTTTTCTCACTATCGCAGAAAGCACCGTAGAGTCGCGCTAACGATTCATTATTTTCGTACTACTCGAAATAAAGAAAAAAAGAAAAGAAGGGAGAGGGAGAGACACGAGGAGAGCCTCGGTTGTTTACACGACGACCCGCGGCCACCGTTTTGTTTTAATCGACAATGAGCACCGTAGTAGAGAAAGAGGCGTAATAAAGAGCGACGCACGGCCGCACGTGTCTACAGGCATTGTCTCTTACGCGTTCCCCGTAGAGAGGAAATAATTAAGGGAGAGATTCGCGAGCCAGATAAAGGTCGATAAAGAGCGGCGAAATGAAAAAGGGCGCGCCAGGAACTCGCCGCTTTCCGTCGATCTTATCGTCTATGTTCCTCCGTGCCTCGTTTTGCATGCTCTTTCCTCGTCGATTAATCTGATTCCAGTCGTTATACTTTTTGATCTTGCAAACTTTTCATACCGGCTGTGCCATTGATCTCCGTCCGTCTGAAATATTTCCATTATTTTAAGGAATATGCGAAAATGTTGTTTATGTGAATGGTGGCAATAGTTTTCTTTAGAAGGGGTGAATTAAAGTAGTACGATGAATAAAGGCTATCTCGGGAACTTAGCTTAATACATTTATGCTCAGAATTCTAAAAACAAATCTCAGAGACTCAGCTTAATAAATTTCTGCTCGGAATTCTTAAAAAATATCTTAGCTTAATACTTTTATACTCAGAATTCGATATTTAAGATGGACAGAGCTGGTGGAATATATTTTAGATATATTTCTTTTGAAAAATTTATTATGCGATATTCCTTACGTAGCCACGTGTACGAGAAATGAACGTGTTTCAAGGATTCATAAATTTCTCAGCCGAAATCGAGCCGCGTTGACTTAGGTCAAGATGATTTACACCTCTGCCAGGATGCTTGGTAGTCCTTTCGCTTGGCTAAATATAAATACGGAGAACTATTCCGGTTCCTCGAATAGGAATCCCCTTTTCTCTTCGTTCGATCGTAGAAATTTTAGTAATCTTGTAATGACTTTTTAGCCGCCTAAATCCCTATTCCAATCTCTTTCGAAAGAAGAAAATCAGACCAAAGAAACAAATCACCGTAACGACAATACGTTTCTCTAGTAAAGACAAAAGCACCCGAAACACTGACCGTGTGTCCCTTCCACCTCGTCAGGATCACGTTGACGAATGTTCTGCCCATTGTGATGTCCATACGTGGACCATGCACAAAAAGGCAGCGCGGCAACGCCTACCAAAAAACAAAAGAGCCGTCGAAATAGCCGGTCGTTTGTCTCGGGACATTTAGCCGGTACCAAACTCTCTCTTCCACCCTTTTCCGATTTTTCACCCCTTTCGTTACACTGGGTCGACGTTACGTCTTGTTCTTCTCTCTCTCTTTCTCTCTGTCTGTGTCTTTTATGCTTCTGTTCTGCAGTAACTATGCAAATAAGTCAGTTAAAGGGTTAAGCGTAGATAGACGTGAACTAGACACGCGTTACAGTTTAAATATCGCCACCTATTATAAACGAGATAATAGGCGTCACGCCCCTGGCGAACGAAGAGAGAAAGGTGTGAAATGAAATTTTTTTCCAAAGTTTTTCCTTCTGACTCCGTGAGAACCAGTCGAATTAAACGATGTTAACAGTTGTCCTTCGAATTCCTCTGACGGTTTGACTTCTCTGCATTTTTTTCAAATCTACTTTTTATCTGGTCGGTGAATTTGTATCTTTCCGCATTTTGGCACCGTTAATTTCTCATCTTCCCTTTTTCTCTGCTGTTCTTGCGGGAATATTCAGAATATTCTAATTCGTTTGATCAATTGCCACGAGTTGACTGCAAGAATATATTCTACGAGAGCCACTTGGAAAATGAAAAGAGAATTTTTTTAACGAAACTCTTTGATTTCTATTAAATCTGAGTATTCCGTTGCGCAACAGCTTCTTGAAAATTGCTCAACGACACAGGAATTTGGTTTCTCTGTAAATATAAGGTTGTTAGTGTTTGTTAATATCTTGATTACTAGTGGACACGGTTAAATGGAAATTTATAATGAACGCGAGACACGTGACTCGCATACGTCCTTCGGACTACGATGAATCCGACGTATTTCCCCGTTACGTGGCTAGCGAATCACTCGACGATTTGTATACTCGAGACGTACGACACTTTGTATACACGGTGTATCATAACGTGTGGGATCCACTTCAGGAGGTACAAAAACGTTGAAGAAAATTCGTATAAACATGTGTTCTATTAGACCTCGTTTCAAAGTTCTAGCCATTTTTGTATTTCAGTTATCAGCAACTGCTTACGTTCATAGAAAATGCTCGAAATGGCCACTCTCGGTCTGTATTTGTAAATAACGCCCTGTATTCTTATTTATGTACGTTTCGGCCCTCTATCAGACACCTTCTTATACAGGAATCTCGCCGAACCCTTTACAGTCAACGTAATCGTATTAATAGACTTATCATTGGTCTGCGGATTTTTATGCAAGTTCATATTTTCGAGAATACAGTAAAGAAAGTAGAACTTTGGTAGAAAATTATTTCACCTATCAGGCATTATAAAAATCACTATAATTTGTGCATTCTGTGCAATTTTCCACCTTTCAATTTCCTATAAATGCGTGAAAATCCGCAGTCTACTTATCACGAACGTTAATCGGTTCTGCGAAGGGATCAACCTTTTTTGTTCTACCTACACCTTCAGGCGTAATTTAATTTCTTCACTTTCAAGCTAACTACTTTTCCAATTGTAACAAATGACGTATACTACAGGGTGCCTGTGTAAATGAAAATAATAATAATCTTCTGGATATATCCTGACCTTGTTCATTTCACGCGTTCTGTCGATTCAGATTACTCATTTCAGTTTGTTCTCTTGCTAGAAGCAATTCGATAATTCTCTAATTTCCTGTGCGTTAGAAGTGCATAATTAAGCAAATGAGCAGTTGCGGATAATTGAAGCACAGGAATGGCTATAACTTTCAAAGGAGGGGAAATAGGACACATGTTTATATGAACCTTTTTCATTATTATTGTGTCGCTTATCCACTGACGTGGGTACCGCGTGTTATGATACACCCTGTATACGCGAAGTTCCATTGTCGAGGATACTTGACGTCAATCTGTCTGCCTTGGGAGCTTCCTGAAGCCACGTTACGGAATCAATTTCCCGTTTTTCCCTTTTCGCAACTTGCGTCCTCTCCTATTTCGTAGAACTTGCTTGCATCGCTTTTCTCTCATTTCCCCAATTTTTAAACCTGTCTATTCTTCAATTTTAATCTAATTTCTTTTCATCTTTTAAATTTGCGACAAAGATTTCTCATCCGATTTTCTCTTCCATTGACACTTTGCACCGTATTATTTGTTATTTCTTTCCTTCGGAACTGGCGTCATTTAGATTTCTTTTTCAGTCCTTTTACGCGTGATCGTTATTTCGTATAATAGATTTTAATCTTCTTCGTGCACAGAGGAAATTCGAGATTTTTTTCTAAAGTTTCTTCAGACAGTTCCCTTCAACTTACGGCGTAAATTACGCGATAATTCGACAGTCTGTCGTAAAAGGCGACAAACGATTCGATTATCGAGTCGATCAGGGTTCCAGTCACCCGCTGACGATTCCCGCGGCTCAATTATGATTGCACAAAGAGCATCACGCTGCGTAGTTACATTGTTACGTTGCTTCGACAACCAGCTGTATGGCTCGATGAAAGAAGGAAAAAAAACGAGACGAGGTAACGATGATTTCTCCTTTGACGCCTTCCTGTTTCGTAGTTTCACTATTTTCTTTCTTTTTTTGTTATCCGAAAGAATGTTCTATTTCCTCAATGTACACCTTGTGTAAAATAAAAAATAAATAAACTCTCGATGAAATTGCAAAATATAAGCCAAATTAATAGCCAAAAAAGTATGAAATAGGGCTAAGAGTAATTATTAAAAAAATTGTATTTCAAGTGAGAATAATTCGTTCGCTTTTCTACTTTTTAGATACATCATTTTTCGTCACGTTCGCAGAAAAGAATGTTCTGTTTCCTTAATTTACGATTAGAATTAATTCTTCTAAATGAATTTCCTGAAATTTCCCCGATGAAAATGGATGGAAAGATATAATAGTGTTCCTTGTAAATGAATAGAAGGAGGTTCTTCACGGGTTTTTCACGGTCAGCTTGGATTCCGTAACAGTTTCTAAACTTTCGACCGGAAACCGGGCCATTTGCCAGGAAATAAAATAACCCTCTTGAAGCAGACCGAGATAATTGCCCGTTTCGACTTTTTCGAACACCGACAGCTTCGACCCTTCTATCCTTTTCCGTTCTCTTTTGCGTCACGTAAATTGTCCGTCGGTCAACGTCGTGTCTAGACCGTAAAACCCAACTGCAATCGCTATGGAGATAGTTGGTATACTATACTTGTGCATAAGTACACTTCGAGCTTTGCTAACTTTTGCTACTTGCAAATATTCACGATTTATCAATGGTTATAAAACGGCAACGAAATACGTTTCCTTTAGAAGAAACTTTAAAATCTGAAATATTAAAGATTTTTTATTTTAAACTTCAAAGGGAATTTCGCGTAGAATTGAAAATATGAAATTTGAAACGTTCGAAATTAGAAATGTTTTCATTTTTTAATCTTTAATATCGAAGTTGAAATTTCAAGCGAAACTCTCTTTCTATCGAAATGGAAAAGAGAATAAAAGAAGGATAATGGTGTTGCAGGAAATTCACATGATCTTCTCGGTAAAATAGAAGATCCAGAAAAGTATGAGACATTAAAAAGAAATTCCTCTCCTATTTCAATTATATTAAAATAAGAAAGGACAAAAATTCATTACAAACTTCCACGTGATTCGAATAATTTGGTAAAGTACAAGCGAAATTGGCAGCGGTTTCGCGCGATATTCGCAAGAAACTCGGTATGAAATTACACCCTATACACATAGGGTCGATCTTCTCGTTGTCCTCATCATGGCTCCCAGCTCGACCTCGCAATTTCATCCTTCCACGGAGCTTGTACCTTCCAATCTGCGTAATCGTTCTCTGGAAATAAGAAACGTTTCGCGGTGTGTGGGGCAGCAGGAGGGCGAAAACGTGATTGAAAGTTAAAGGCGGATCGTAATGGACCCTTTCCATCGTTCCATCCAACAGAGAGAGAGAGAGAGAGAAAAAAGGAGCAACGATTATATTTTAACAGCAAAACGAAGCACTGGACGGTTGTGTACGTAGCTGATAGAGTTTAATAGTCTCTTGTTGATTGAGAAATTATTATAGGTACATTGTTCATAATTTTGGGAATTTTCGAGTTTGGTATTTTAATTAGGAGGAACGTCTAGGTGAATAAAATCGGGAACAGAAAGAGAATTATTAAAGAAAGAAGAACATAACGAGGAAGAGATAGGATATTTTCTTTCGTTACATTGAATTTTTTACGACAATTCATTTCTCATGTAATATTCATTCTCTAATATTTAAATCATTGTACTGAGGATAATATGTATATTGTGACTTTTATTATAACCATTGTAATAACATTTTCTTTCTTATAATGTAAATTCTCTTGAACTTTAATTACTGATTTCAAAAAGTTAATTTAAAATTAATTACGCTACTCGTGCTATTAACTAAAAGGAGAAAAATTGGACTACTTAAAAATATCTGAGTTTCCATCTCTGTACTTGTACTTAAGCTTAAATTAATACATTTTTTTAACTAATAGAAGAAGTGATTTCTGGAGATTAAAATGGCGAAAAAGTGGCAAGATACGTACAGTTTGTATCAAATTCACTATAACACCTTAAGAAACACCTATTCTAACTTACCTTCTCAAATTCTCATTTCTAATTTCTTTCTAGTTGAAAACTTTATACTCCACGCCTCCTCTATTCCTCAATTCTCCCTTCAAACTTCTCCAAACCTCGAACCACTCATTTCACACCGCTCAAACCACTCCTCGGACCCTTACCAACGAAAAATCGTTGTTTTGCTTACAGGTACATCTCAGGTCTCGCCTGATAATGAACGGAGTATGCGTGATGTGGCGTGGATGGATCGATTTGGAGAGATTGGATGGCGTAGGTTGTCTAGAATATGACGAGAAACGTGCCGCTGAAGAAGATGCCCTTCTTCGTGACCAATTAGAGCGTTACAATCAACGAGTACGCGATTTCGATGAGAAACAAAGATCGTACAGGAGTGCAGCCACTCAACCACCTCATTTGAACCACCATCACCATCACCACCACCATCATCATGGTCATCATGGCCACCACGTGACAGGAACAGGTACTGGAACTACTGGAACTATCGAGCCTCACCTAACTCATCGACAGGACCCCGAAATGGAGGTCAGACTGAGAGCTTACTGAGGCAGCGAGAAGCTATCTAGTGAAACCTCTTGATTTCCCTTCGATCTGGGACTAGTCGTAAGCAAACCTCAAGCTGACCGGAAGTTAGCAGGAGGAAGAACTCTTGGGAGATCCTTTGGGGAGGATTCTGGACGAATATTTGCCGAATTTTCGTGGAGTTGAACAGATTCAAGCGTGATAAAGAAACCTCTATAGTCCCAGGAAACTGAAGAATTTTAGAATATTTGATGGAAAGAATTTTTCATTTGTGTCTGCGATGATTTAATTTGGAACAATTTAAGCTTCAATTTTCATGATCAATTTCGTTCCTTGGAAGTTTCAGAATCATGGGATGTTTAAACAGGAAGAATCGTGTCTGTGATAATTTCGAGTGTATTAAATTCGAGTTTCAAGACTCTGAATCGATTTTCGATGATCGTAAAAGGAGTAAATAAAATCGATCTGGAGGTTAATTTCCAGGATTTTCGAAAAAATTGAAAAGAAATCTATGAGAATTTCGGGGGTCTTCAAGAGTAAAATTTCTATTCTAAAGTATCGCAGACAAAGTTTCCCAGAAATCTCGTATTTCTTGGAACCACCAAAAATCTTCATCTACCAGATTCCTCCCACGTGTCATCGCCAACGACGAGTTCTATAAACGATTAATTACACCATGTGCAAAGAATCCTCCGTTATGATCAACGATGAGGATCGTTAGCTTAAGCGACACTTGTTCATTCTTTGTATGAAAAATCAAAATCAGCGTTTCTGGAGGGCGAAGAAATATCAGAAGAACGACGAAATTGTGAAAAGGTTGGTGTCGACAAGCCTCGATGACGAGAATCGTCTGAATTCAGACGAACGAACGAATTCAGGTTTTCTCTTTCTTTTTGGAAAAATGATCTTCCAAGTTTCAACGCGACATTGTAAGTAATATTACACAGTTCACGTAACAACGCCGAATTTCTATGTACAATTAACGATTAAAAAGATAAGGATCACCTTAAGAAGATGTGTTCGTCTTAAGACTTCTGCTAGATCTTTCTTGCCTCATTTTTCTCTCTTCTTCTTTTGAATTATAATTATTGCAATTATTACTGCGATGTTCACAGATGTTTATTCGATCGTATTGTGTACAGGGTGATTCAACTAATTTCAGGACTTGAACGAAAGAAAATTTGCACCCTTTCGTGACTGTATTATTTTTTCAGAATTTCTTATTCATCTGTCGATTGTCGTCGTTTTAGTAGCTGTTGAATTTAGATCAATCTTTGATTGAATCCCACTGGTCGCAAAAGTTTCAGAAATTAGTCGCAAATAAAACTTCGAATGTCACCTTAACTCTTTTCTTCTAATTAAATTCCACATTTCTTTGCGAAAATTAGGAGAAAATTAATAAGTGAGTAATTAAGTGTTAAGATATACGAATAATTTACTTTCAATTTGAAATCGTCAAGTTAAACGAATCACTCTGTATATGTATATGTATAAGTACCATACACTCTTCATTTTTTCCCTGTTGACGAAGATCCATCTCGTTTAGGTGTAAGGAGTATATCGTTAGATGAATGGTGTACCTCGTTGCAGCAACAAGCGTAAAGAAAATTATACTTGCTCGAACGAGATAAAATTGAAAGAAAATGAAAAAAAAAAAAGAAGAATAAGATCTTTACGATTGTTACTGTCTCATCGCATTCGCCACGCCGTGCAACGAATTTTACGCGTAATTTTACGCGTCTTTTGGATCCACATCGACGACACGACGAGGAAAAATGGCGTCGCGCGTGAAAGCTCTCGACTGTGGTCTCTGATTTTGGACATTAGGTATCGGCGTGAGAACGCACGATTCAAGTTACCACAGCATTTCTTGAACCTCAATATACATCGACAATTAATTACAAGAAAAGAAGAAACAAGAATCGTTTCGAAATTTGAAAAACAATTTTAATTTCTCACTGTTCCGACAGGAAATAATTTCAAAAAATACTGTGGTCGCAAGTGTCCAAGTTCGTGTTCGTCCCAACATAGCAGAATATTTAAAAATATCTCGATTTTTACCTCAATAGCGATTTTATTATAAATCATTCATCGTCGTAGAAAGGAAATTCTCTTTCCGAAGATTCACCCTTCCACTGTGCTTTCTTCACATCACCGTGTTATTCAATTATTTCAACGAACTTTTGTTACAACTTTTATTAAATTTTTCAAAATGATCGAAGCAAGCTTTCAGATGAAGCGATTTCTAACAAAATTCTCGAGTCTTCCAACGAGTAAAGTAGCGGTTTGTCGAATGGAAGGGTGAAGAGGTGAATGCAAATGCGGAGAAAAGGTCGAGCATAATGCGTCACGATGAGGAAGGAGTTGAGCATGATTCACGGGAGGATTCTCTTCTGCATTCCGCGCGAGCATCCAGTTAGTCGTCCGACTTTCCGTTTTTTCGTATGCGTCGACCAAGCATTAGATGACATGTCACGAGTCATTTTTTCTGTTGCATTGTACATATTTGTAAAGAGTTAGGTTAATTTATGGAAACGCGGCTTCTCTTGAGCTCGTTCCGCGGAACGGTGTGTGAATCACGCTGGGAAAACCCACATGATGAAGTGACGAGCGAGCGTTCGCGAAAATCGCGCTCTCCCGATCTTCGACGCTCCGATTGTATAAAGCTGTTTATCGATTAAATGTAATTTCCGTCGGACACTAGACGTTTTCTATTCATTTTCCCCGTACCAAGCTTTAAACCTATAATATTTCTTATTTTTACCTTGCAAATCTTATTTTTCGAACAATTTCTGATTGAAGATTGGAACTCGAGTTTTTGAATAATATTAATGTAATTTCCGTCGGACACTAGACGTTTTCTATTCATTTTCCCCGTACCAAGCTTTAAACCTATAATATTTCTTATTTTTACCTTGCAAATCTTATTTTTCGAACAATTTTTGTTTGAAGATTGGAACTCGAGTTTTTGCATAATATCGGAACGATTGCTAAAATTTCAAGAAAATTTGGAATTTGGAAATTGGAATTTATGCATATTTGTCACTGTCACTTTGCAAATCTTATTTTTCGAACAATTTCTGTTTGAAGATTGGAACTCGAGTTTTTGCATAATATCGGAACGATTGCTAAAATTTCAAGAAAATTTGGAATTTGGAAATTGGAATTTATGCATATTTGTCACTGTCACTTTGCAAATTTTATTTTTCGAACAATTTCTGTTTGAAGATTGGAACTCGAGTTTTTGCATAATATTGGAACGATTGCTGAAATTTCAAGAAAATTTGGAATTTGGAAATTGGAATTTATGCATATTTGTCACTGTCACTTTGCAAATTTTCATTTGAAGTTTGAAATTCGTGTATTGGAGCAATTGTTAGAATTAGAAGAAAATTTGAAATTGGAATTTTAGTGAATTGAATTCATGCATATTTGTCACTGTTACCTGGCAAGTTTTATTTGGAGTAAATTCTATTTGAAATTCGGAATTTTCGTGAATTGAATTCACGCGTGATATTTATTTTTATTTTCGTTGATTTTCAACTGAAGATTCGTGAATTAGAATTCGAGTTACTTAGAAGTAGAAAAGAATTTGGAATTAAGAATTTTAGTGAATTAAATTCGCGTTGAAAGGAACCTTAAGAAATATGACATACTTTCATTCCTCGCTATTTCACTATTTTACTTTTAATTATCTTTTTCGAAGACAATTTAATTTAGTAAAATTGTAGATCGTGGAAAAATTATTATAAAATTCTAAACTTCGAAGACGAGTAAAATGAAGTAAGAATTTCCTGTTGCAGGAGGATAGTAAGACTGACACGTATTAGTAGCTGTTCATTCTAAATGGCAAGAATAGCTTCGTTGATTAATGTTCTGTGAAAAGGTGACGAAACACTTTCCATTCGAGACACGACCGTGAACCTATTCTCGTGTTGTCGTTTTCGCCTGATTCCAGACTCGAAGAACATTTGTCAATGAATCGAAGGATTTTCCTAAACCTAGAAAACTTGCAGAAAAATTGGACGAGTCACAAAGTACATTGTAAACTCTCTACTCCTAATGACATCATCGTCAAATACTCTCATAATTATATTTCCCGAAAATCATAAAAATCTGACCTTAAATTTAAAATATTACAAATTATCACAACTTTCTTTTCTCTCTAAAAACGAAAAAAAACGCATTCAATTTCCATTTCTTTATTTTCCAAGTTTACACATTCGGCTATTATTTTGTTAATCACAGAAAAAGGATACGAAACTCGTTCCATGAGTAAGAAGAAGAGGGCAACATTTCGATCCAAGAAATCACGGTTAATTTCAATCGTTCGATCGACTAATACCTATTTTCAACGTGTCTACGTGTACACGTAAATAAAGGCTCACGTATTTACGATGCAAAGGGGATGAGGGGGTTATTTTCTGGAATAATGCCGTGGGCGTTCGAGCGTTGAAATACACTCTATCGTGCCGTTGATCCTATCAAATGGGAATCGTTCTGAAATCTCCCCTGTAAATCCGCTTTTACAGTTTCAGGCTAAACGTTTCAATCTTCGTGTAACATCGAATTCCGCTGTTCTAAATTGAACAGTTAAAAAATGGATTAACTAATTGTTTCGAAATAAAGAAAGTTAAATTAAAACTATCATTCTTCTTAATTTCCAAAATTATTACAAAAATGCTTTTAAAATTGTTGTTCCGTATTTTCCTGTTCTTTCTCTCTTTTCTCCGCTTTCTTTTCTATCGTTTGCAATACCCACATCCTTTTCTAAAGTAAGAGAAACGTCGGTGAAATTTCGAAGCACGGGGAGAAAAGGAGTAATCAGAGGGGCAAGACTGGATGTAAGACGATAATGCGAGCGTTGGAATTCCTATAAGAAGCCCTATTCGTGAAGAAACGAGGCAGGGGAACGAGGAACCTTGTCACTTCCCACGAAACGGTTCCTCGAGATCGCGACAACCAACGGAAAGTTGCACTTTTTCTCAACATCTTCTCCCTTATACCGCACTCTTGCTCCAGAA